ACTGAAGAGCATTCAGAAGAGATACCAACCAATGAAATACGTGCAACATTCAGAAATTTGGTAGAAAAAACTACTAGTAAATGCAACAACAGAAAGATAAAAAAAAGAAAACCAAAATACACAGACCCAAATTGCACTATGATGAAGAAGGAGCTGGAATTACTGGAGTTAAGAAGTACTGTAAAATCTGTATTGGAGGACACAGCTTCTATTAACATCAAACCCAAATCGTGGAAAAAATAGCTTGGAAAAAACAACAAACATTGCTTCAAACAGAAAGCATACAAGTACTGCCTACAAAAATGAAACACTACCGTAACAACCAACGTCAAGACTCAAAATGGAGGATTTATTACTAAAATAAAAACTAAAAAAGGATTTACTAAAAGACAACGTATAAATGTTACCATATGTAATAAAAACAAGCTGGTAGGCTGGTTGGCAATCCGCTCCGCTCAAAAACAAGCAACATGTTTTTGGCTGTTTTCATGGTAGGACAAAAGCTAAAGTCAGTTTATAACTAAATGGATCCCATATACGAAGTTCGCAAAGACCATTCAGTCTTTAGAAGTCACTTTACTTTATTACTAGGACTTATTCTGCTGTTACAATTATTATTTCCAACCGTTTTGTGATAGTATTTTCTAGAATGAAGGCAGCATTTACAGTTCATTCAAAGTTCAAAGTTGCATTGGGATTACGTTGATAAGGTGTAACAATGTCGGCGCCAGTGATCTCTTACCAGTGTGCAACGTAGCCAAAATAAAAAGCATGATCATTTGAACCCTGCTATTACAAAACTGGTAGGAGGTAATAAATTTGGGGCGAAAGTATTCAAAAATCAGTTTTTGGCTGTTGCCATGGCAGTGGTGGGCCAATTTTTTTTTCAATTAGTGACGGTACGACATGTCTGTCAAGTATGGACAAAAAAAAGCCAAAAAAATCACAAAGCAGTTAAAAGCTGTTGCTGGTGAAAAGTTACTCTAACTTTCAGGTCAATTTTCTCTATAATGAAAATAGACATAAAAAATTTATGCCCACACACAAGCTGAGTAGAATGAGCTATGTTCGTGTTTTTTAATCATAGAAATGTAAGGTGAGATACATATTAAACAAATCAGTTTTTTGGCTGTTGCTATAGAAACGGTGGAGCCAGAATTTCAGATTTTACAACCTAACTAAAATGAAGGTGTGACTTGCCTGCCAAGTTTGAACCAAATCGACTCAGCCAAAAAAATCACAGAAGAGATAAAAAGCCATTCCTGGTGAACATTTACCCCAACTTTAGGGTCAAATTTATCGGTAATGAAGAAAGATATCACAAATTTAAATGGTAACTTTGTGACCACACTTAAGCTAAGTAGAATGAGCTATGTCTGAGTTGTTTTATCCCAAATTTGTAGGAGATAAGCTATCCAAAGCGAAGCTATTCAAAAACCAGTTTTTTGGCTGTTGCTATGGCAATGGTGGGCCAATTTTTGTTTCCAGATTTTTCCTTATAATTAGGGTGAAGGTGTGACCTACCAGCCAAGTTTGAGCGAAATCAGCCAAGCCAAAAAAAAATCACAGAAGAAATATTACGTGAAAACACTGGAGTCCACCTGACATAGAGCAATTTACAAAACAACTCCTGAGTGTTGAGTAACCCCAGGTATTAATGAACTCGTCGTTGGCGGGAAGGCTCAAAGTAAAGTTTCTTAGCAGGCCGCGCTGCAGTTTCGCTACAGTTTTAGACCAAACTAAAAGTTGTTTTTACATTACTGATGCATTATGTATCAAATTCAGATTTTATACCGAGGTGGGAGAGTACAGATGGAAAACTTGATTATAACAGTTTGATGGACTTTGTCAAATCAAAAGTACCTTCCTTGATCGAATCACTTTTTCAACTGCAGTTTGAAAATGACGGGGTATAACGACCGTTATTATGTCTAGTCCATTTTTGTAACAGGTACAACTGAGCGAGGGGTTGACATTTTTCGACAGATTTAAGCAACACCCAACTTGTGATTTTCAAAATTACGGAAATAATTACAATATGATTATAAAAAATAAAGAATGGTTGCTGTAAACGCACGCTAGATAATGCTTGCAATTCACCAAGCCGACAACCCCCATGAAATAGTTATCCCAAACCACGCGCCCGTCACTCAAGTTGTGCTGACAAGTCTAAATTGGCATAGACCGAAGTGTTTTGCAAAGTTGCAAGTGGCTGTCCGAATAATTCTCAGAACGGCTGTAAAAGAGTATTTACTGAGATCCATCAGACTGTGATTATCATTCAAGATGATGATGAGATTTTTCAAATCTGTTTATTAGTCACCATGGTTTCAAAAACTTGGCAAAAATACATTCTCAGGTTACTGTAAAGACCACACTTCAGCATGAATGACATTCAACCTTGATTTGGTTGTCCTTACAGTAGACATTTTCTGTCTTCCAATTTCTGTCCCATGTACCTGCCAGTTCCAATTTTAAGATTGGGAGCAATAATTCTCATTGTAGTTAGAGCAGCTAGCTTATGTAAAGAATGTTTAACAACAGTGGAGTAATTTTCCAGACCAAAGTCATCTTTAATCGGTCTACAAGTTCAAAGCTGGTTTTTACCTTCATTGTCATTTTATAAACCTAATTTGATTTTTTTATTATTCAATGTATCAGTTTTCCTGATTTTGAATTTAAAAATATTGCCAAGTTTGAATGCTTCATTGATGAGTGTATCCCAAGACACCTGAATCTGAATAGTACTTGACACTCGGAGGATATTGCCCGAGTTCAAGAAGACATGCACTCTTTAAGGCGTTGCATGTAACTTTGAGCAAATATTTGCAGAATTTATTATGAAATGAGTACACTGGAATTGTCTATAGCCACGTTAGAAAACTGCCCCCTCCTCCCCTGCAGATTTACTACTTATTACGTACGTGTATTGAGTACTTGGTTCAACAACGGGATTGGAAATGTTCCTCAAAATATTACAACAAAGACAAATGGCATAAATGTGATTAAAATATTGAAGATACTAAGGGTACGTGACACAGGGGTGGGTAGAGTATTACAGGTTTGCTGTCAATGGCCATGGGTGTCAACAATACACATTACTTCGTACACAATACAGCCATGGAGCTCAATTATACTATTAACTAATGGTCAACAAAATACCTAGGTGTAACGCACTGTTCATCGTCGAAAGAAACTCATTTTCCATAAAAAATGTTGTATAAAATCAAATATGAAACGTGTTCGACGTCAATAATATCACTTCCTGTAACTACATGCGATCTTCGCCTTGGGGGCGTCAACAACACTGAAATAACAAATTATTACCTTGGTTTGGTCTTCGGAGAGGAGGTCTGGGTGGTCGTCCAGTCCGTCCTAAAATTAAACACAATAAAAGTGAGTTTTTATCACGCGTTAAAGCGATATTATTGAGTATTAACCGTTATATTATCGATACATAGAATGCACACCCACCATCATGGCTGCTTGCTAGCTAATATCACGTGATGTGAAGCCACGCAAAGTATTTCGGGAAATGAAGTGAAATCAGAGCGAGACACAGGCGGCAAAGACAAGGTTTAGAGAACTTATCTCGGTATGTTTAGCAAATATTGTAATATTGAATAATACAGATTCTTAGCCAGTCAGGCCAAATATTGTTTAAATTAACTAGCAGAGAAAGTGGAGGGACGAGTGCACCACACGATCGAGTACCGAAATGTCTTCCAACCGTGAGGACTAAGGACGCACACACCCCTTCAATAATGTGCTCTTGTCCCCTCCCTTGGCAGTGTCGGGTCCATTCATATCCGAGTAAAACCCAGGTTTTTTCACCTGAATAAAACCTAAAACTAATGGTTATTATGAAGTTTTGTGCGGGTTGGAACTTAGAGTTATTTATTTCAGATTTTTGTTGCTTTAAAATATTTTAGTCTCCGTCGGAACGGGGACTTAATTATGTTCTATCCGTGCGTTCGTCTAATCCATACTGCTACTAGTATTTTACTTGCATGCATACAGGATTTTGTTTAAATTTGATACATAGACAAATACGGGTGAAATATTTTGATGTTTAAACATCACTCATGATGTGTTACTGATTGATGACATGTACATCACTATTTGTTTCACTATTTGATTAAAAATGGCCGACTGCCTGTCATTTTGTTTTGTTTATGAATCTTCTGCTTGTTTCTCAAAGATATTTTTACAGATTTGGTACAAAAGCAATGTACAATAGGCATTATTTTTAGATTTTGATAACATTTAGCTGACTGGTGGCTTCTTTGTCAAAAAACAACTAAAATCACAAAATTGAGTGGAACATCATTGTTAACTGGCTTCCTATTGAGTTCATGCCAAGTCATGAAAATGAAAAATTCTGAAACATGCTTAGTAAAATAAACATAGCATGTATGAATACAAATGATTAATAGTTAATTAGCCCAATAGTGTGTAAGTGTATGTGAGTAAATTGTGGTCCATGCCAATGCTTAATAAATGTTGCCATTCTTCTGTGACCTTTGACCCTCTGAAATCCAAGATGCTGTCAAAGGTAGCTGTATATACATACCGGTACTTGTATATCTGCCCAAAACTTGATATAAATAATATTGATTAAAGTGTCAAAACATGCTACATTATTTAAAAATTATATAAATGTACAGTTCAGATTGAAAGACAAAATGATATTTGGCACAAATATAAAATGCATGCTGTATAAAATGAAATGCACAGCATAAGTAATATTTGCCTGTGGGCTACATAAGATTACTATACACCTCTACATCTCAGCAACCTTGGTATTTTTAGATATCATATGATGTCCACTAATTTGTAACAATGTTATCATTGAAAAAGTTGGAAGGGCTCACACTTCACTGGCATATTGACAAAACAATGACATAATTTAATGCCTTTAATAATGAAAATAGAAAATATTACCTTGTCTATACAAGGTTACAATTTTACCGATACATGTACTACCATACCTCATTTTTTATTTTGATATTTTTTCAGGTTTACTATTACAGAGTCATTGTTCCGAAGCATAGTGATATTTTATTGACAGAACTGGCTGCATGACTGATAGTGTGCAATGTACTGCCTTCAGCGATGCTGTCATCACAAAAGATATTTAAGTAAATGTTTACAAAGATATTCTAGACATTCTTCAACTCAGGATGGCATTAAATTCCATGAATCTGAAAATACAAGCGTTCCCCCAGACACAAATGGTGAAATTTCAACACAAAGTCAAGTCCCAAAAAGCAGTGATACAAATATTCCCATATTCCCACTGATGAAAGAGCCAGGATTCAAGAAAAAAGACTGGAATATTGCAGCAAAGAAATCGGGGAGATTGCCAAGTGTCACAAAAATACTCCAAGACACTATGCCCATACAGAATGCAATAATGTTATTGAAATGGAAGCAGAAGATGATTGCTGAGCTTGGAGAAAAAGGATTTATAAAATTTAATGAAGGTAATGTTATGTACCCCGTAAAATCTGTATTAGAAGTCGCACCCATTCTTTTTGAACTATTGAGAACCAAAAAATCACAATCTCTCGTTTGTGTAGATGCTCTATTAGAAACCGCATCCCATCTGTTGCATTGTACCATTTTAATGGAAACCGGGGCTTCTAATACAGATTTTACAGTACTTGTTAAATCCTGGTCATGTGATAGTTATGGTATATAAACCGTTTATGTGCACTAATCATAAAGTGACTATGACATAAGGAGGTTCAAGCTCAATTGAAGAATACATGTCATGTTTACCATATTCTCATTATTATCAGTTCATGCCATCAGGATACTGAAAAACAAAATTTCTCATATACAAGAGTCAATGGTCAAAACTGGCATTTTTTGACTGGTTTCTATGGCAAGGTTATTTCTTTATATCTAAAAATGTTGTTCTGTGACATGGAATAAATATATTGTTGCTGACATATTGTTATTGATATATAATTTGGTGTGTTTCTAGAGTGATAATAGTTTTCCCATTATATACAATGGGAAGTTCTCTGCCATACATTGTGTCATAGTCCAGTTGAGGGACTGTGATATACTATATCTACAATACAAATAATAATGTAACCAGTCCAACGGTTTTAGAAAAGTCATGTTTAACAAAATGATTATATACTTTCTGCTTATGTCAGCAAAATGTTCTTGAAGCCAATTAGAGCTGGCTGCAGAGATCACATGATCAAAAGCTTTATTATTTACAGCATAAGTGACTATCATGTGGAATAGAAAGCCAACAGCGCCACCTAGGAGTAACCAACCAGTATGCACATCTGGCTGTTGTAATAATCTTTCAGTACTAAAATAATATAAAATTACAATCAAAGTCATTTGAACTGCATGAAAGGACTTGCTAGGACAGGTTAAAAAAAATATCACTAACCTGGTACCCAGCATACCAAGTTTGATTAAAATTAGTTCAGCCATCTTTGAAAATTCAGGGTTGGGATTTTACATCTAAAATGGCCACCATATGAGGCCATATTTTTTACAAATCCATTGTTGAGGGACTGTGGTTGAGTATATGTGCAGTAACAAGCTCAGTCGTGTTAGGGACTGGCAGATTATATTAGAAGATGAATCACTCTCATGTCTCACAAATTTTCTTGTACTACTGGGAAAACGACATGTATATATATCTTGGTGTAAAAAAGCCAAACCAGATTTTCATGTTTTTAAGCAGTATGTGAAAACAATACAAAAAATAGAATTGTACATTGCCAAGAGAAAAAAACAAAACCAGATCCCACAATAGAAAAAGGAGAAAACATGTACATAACTTTCAAGATACAAATGAATGAACACAAACACTAAACTAAAGAAACATTTGAATGAAAAGAAACACGCAGGCAACAAACATAGAGACAATAATCTACCTGTAATTATACTTTATGAGAAGAAATTGTTATGTAAGTTACAGCAAGTCTCAGAAGTATTGGGGCAGCCAATTTGCAAACTTGCTAGCGAATTGGCTAACTGCTTGGGTTTGGACTAAACGATTGGCTTTCGCATCTCGCTGGCGCCGACTTGTGATCGCGTCCACTCTGGGCGAGTCTATATTGCAGTAGGGGACATAGAATGCTTTTTACACGTCTGGATTCCCCTGAGTAATTTGAGCCCCCGGTTTGAGCCTGGAAATAACCATAGTCAGCTGGCGTACAAGTGATAAAATGACAAATGCGATTATTTCACCGATATTATATGGGGTAGTCATCTTGAACACTGTAATGTAAAAATGTAAATAGTCAAAATGTAAATAGTCAAGTTGAGAAACATTTTCCTACAAATCAGAGAGAAAATAACAAACTTTCACATACAAATGATCCGTTGAGGTAAAATTAAGCCGACCGCTAAAAAAGTCATTCATCATTTTTACGTAGATACGAAAGAAATAGAACACTTTCCCTAGTAGATTCGAAAGCGAAATCGCCACCCAACTGTAAGACCGTTGCTGATTAGCTTCTAAAATATGAGGATCTTCCCCTACTGTTACATAGATTCATCTTAAGTGGGCGTGACCGCAAGACAGCGCCAGCGAGATTCGAAAGCCAATCGTTTAGTCAAAACCAAAGCAGTTAGCCAATTCGCTAGCGAGTTTGCAAATTGGCTGCCCCAATACTTCTGAAACTTGCTGTAAGCATCGAAGAAATGTTTTTTTAAAAGGAAACTCCAATAAAAACAAAAACATGCCCAGTAGTGCAACATTCAAATTCAACTCAAGACTGCCTTAACTGATTTGTACCACTGCTGTGGTGAGTCACTTGAATTGTAGTCAATTTGTCAAATAATCAAAGTTGTTTGTATTTTTATTTCTTACCATGCCATAACCAGGTCACAGCATATAATCAGAGATAATCGAGAACACCCATTGGTCAATTCAAGACTGCTATGGTGCAAGAGTCTATAAATGCTTCTTATCATACTACAATTATGAGATTTGTTCATGGCTAGCACAGCCAAGCATAGATTCAAATTTGTTTTCTAAATTAAATAGTTAAAATATGCACATGTAGATGACCTAGCAAAGTTCTGGGTTCTATTATTTTGGTTAATACACTGGGGCATGTATGTGATGTGTAAGTTGATCAAATGGATTTGAATAATAAACATCCTTATTTTTCAGGTTGATCTGCATCATTTGTCCATTTGAAAATTACAAATATGCATAGCTTATTAAAAATTTGAAAAAAGTGCCTTTGAAAGCTAGACGATCATTTGTACTATGTATGAATCATGTATGTAATGTGATTTTTTACAGAGACCCTGGCAGCAGGTAGTGCCTTGCATCGCTGTATACAACAGTATTTACAGGGTATCCCTATGAATGAAATCAATGTGGGAAAGGCCAATGCAGGCCATTGGAAGAGTATGGCATCTATTTTACCACAGATTACAGATGTATATGCAACAGAGAAATATGTCAAGCATCCAATGCTTAGCTATGCTGGATACATAGACTGTATTGCTACTTACAAGTAAGATTTGGCAGTAAAATCTGTTTTCCATAAAAGTTTTACATCTGGATGTGTTTATATATTTGCTTCATGAAATTGGTTATAAGTATTTCATGCATAATATAAATACTAAATATCATCAACTTTTTCATTGTCAACTCCAGAAAATGTTTCCCCTTGGCTAAAGCTGCAGTCTCACACCATTGTATTAGCTTAGGTACAAGGTTTAATTTATACTAGTGGTTTACATGTTATATACAGTTATCTTAGGTAATATAATGCTGATTGACACTTAAGTATCACAATTGTAACTGGTTTGCAATTGACATAAATAAATGGATTTATAGAAATAAAAGTACCGGTAGTGGTTGAAAAATCGGTCACAGTGGTATAAAAAATTGAAATTGACATCTTTCAAATTCAAGGTTGTGTATTGATTTGATCATGATTATGGGTCTATTACCGGTATTTCAACATATTTAATAAATGCACATAACAGAAAATCTAGTAAAAGTTTTTTGAGATACAATTACCGTACACCTGGTTAATAAAAAAATTTAATTTTCAGAAATACAAAAATGTAACTACCACAAATAAAGTATAGTGGTACCCCACATACCTCTCATTAATGTTCCATGACTGTAACTTGACATGCATTAACACACACATGTTGAGTATACTCGCTTCTATACTTCACACACATAAATTGATAACATTAAATGTCAATAAAGTGTTTTTGTGGCTCAGTAGTCATAATATGAGCTATGATTGATTGAAATATGTATTCTATTTTTTTGAAGGGGTAAGCTATGCGTGATTGACTGGAAGACATCCACAAAACCCAAACCTACACTGTTAAAATGCTATGATTCACCACTACAAACTGCTGCTTATACCGGTGCCACTAATTTTGATGACAGTATCAATGTACAGGTAGTGTGATTAGATCTCTTTATCAAAATGATGTTGTTGTATTGTCAAACTGCATGTAGTTTGGGATTCACATTTTTTTGAAAAATGTCATTTGAAAAACACGAAAACAGAATACTGGTATTTACATGCTCTGATCTATGTATATGGTTCATACCTTGTATTTATGGAAAAAATTTACATTGAAAATATGAGGTTATTATGGGGACACTGCAAAGTATGCACAAAGACAGCAGGAGTATCGACCGACACACAGCGGAGGTCAATGCGACTGCATACTGTCTGAGTGCATACTTTGCAGTATCCTTATAATAACATTATTATTATACATCTTTTCCTCCCAGGAATAAATCATGGAAATACCGAAATCCAAAACGTTTAGAACATATTTAGTGAACTTCTTTGTGTGTGGTCCGGTCAAACCCAGGGGGCAGCCATGTAATCGTTCCCATATTTGGAATTCGCGTTTCCTAATATGGTAGGATGAAAATACCCAGTAATTATAACTTATGGCGTTACAGTGACAGATGTATAATAATTATGAATATCAAATCAATCATAATGCTACTCTGTTAATATATTTCAGGTGGTAGATACACTACTGGTTATTGCTTATAAAAATGGCACTGAAGCCCATGTACACTATATGCCAAAGAAAACTTCCCAATATTTCTGGGAGAAATGGTTGAGTAGACTTCACATGTACAGACTGATGAAAGCCAGTGAAAAGGAAGCATTAGATATTTAGATAACGGCAAGTCTGCCACAGTACTACAGTGACAGGTTGCAGGAAAACCCAACTTTATTAGTTCACGAAGTCTGAAAATTGACCTCTGTGCATCTATACGTGGAGCCAAGTGCCCCCACCTGTATCCTCAACATGCGTGGTCTCAGATCACATTTGAACTCCATGCATACATCTTAGGAGACATATATAAAAATTATTTGTTTCATGAAATGATTCATGTTGGCAGAAGGATGACTATTTTTATGATTAAAATTTGGTAAAATAAGGCATTTATGATATTTTGGAACCAGATCTCAGACATATATGGCAGTTATTTTAATGATCTGGATCCTGATTTTACATGAACAGCTATTGTTCAGACTTAATTATTACGATAGTTTCATTTAAGTGAAGTTTACTATTGAACAACAGGAACTCTGTCATGTCATGACCAGTTTTAGTTATTCTTTTAGTAAAAATGGCAGATGGATGGATAGTCGGCATACCCTTCCCCACTAGATGCTATTATATATTTATTGGTAATTGATGTGTTGCAAGCCACCTTCACGTAGATGGATTGCAAAGACATGACAGCCTCACTATATATAACTCAGATAACATTCAAAATCCTTGGTCAAAGTCTAATAACCATGTTTTACTCTTGATGTCACTTGACATGTGCCATAGTAATCCTTCACTCAACACAAATGCTGAAATAAAGATGTTTGTTTGGGTTTTGTTGACAACTTGCATGATTGTTTTTGGAGAGTCGAGAGAGTTTGGCAAATTCTTTGCCAGTACCTAGAGATAATTTAAAAGTATTGAGATTGCAGACCTAGACACTTTGTCGCAGGAAGAGTTCATGCATCTATAACTCTTAATATGATGTACCGTAGTCTGAAAGGCACCAACCAACATTGAATTCCAGGTAGATGAAGAAGCTCTCCTTTAAGGTTTGAGTTCAAATCCAGCTATTCACATTAGTATTAATTTTGAATATTTACTCAAAGTCAAAACTGTGACATGTTTCTGAAGCTTTAGGGCTTTATCATATAAAATCCCTAGAACCTGAGACTTTCCATTGTGTTCAGACTAATTGGACTCAGGAACTGACCATTTAGTCTATATAAAGCATTGCAATGAAGCATTTGTTTCAAATTGCATCAATAAGCAATCTTTCAGGTGATTAATTATTCATGAGGACTTCTGATTCATACAAACAAAATAGTAAACGAAAACAGGACAGATGTATTTATAACTGTTATAAGTTCTTGGGGCTTTGTTCAGGCGATTATCTTTTTTGAAATTCACGACAAACCATAGAAAAGTGATGCAATTAAGGCTGGAAATGTTTTATTGTCTGCACATATTCTCATTTAATTTCTTTCACATTCTATGATTAAGTCTGCTCCAGTTTCAGTAAGATTTCATAATCTTGACAAATACTACCTATTTATGTAAAGGGTGATGCTAATATGCGTTGAGATGAAAAATCACAATAGCCTAAGTGTGGTTTAAATATCGATTGCTAACTGATTACCCTTTTGTGTAATTCAACCATTTGGAATGAAATACGGTTTATAACCACTATTGATTTGGAAATATCCAACATGCAAGTTTTTAAACCCATTGATAAATAAAAGGCAAGATTAACAAATTCAATATATGTATAGTGTCATAAAATAAGCGTTAACTTTCATAACCATTTATGTTATTACAGTTTCACAATCACATCAAAATCATAGTTGCTCACACATGCCATTACAGGTGCTTGGAAAGGTCGAATCGTGGAACCAGAAATGAGCAAGGTCATTGCTGTGGACAAATCT